CTTGAGCCTAGGAGTTGGAGGTTACTGTGAGCTGTGATGCTATAGCACTCTACTAGGGGTACAGCTTGAGGCTCTGTCTCAAAAAAAAAAAAAAAAAACTAGTAGTGGTCAACAACAAGATTTATTTTCCTCACCTCAATTAATTTAATTCCTATAATAAACCTGTGTATGTGGATTTTTTTTAATGATCTAGGTTTCTATAAGTATAATATGTAGAGTTTTCAAAAATGGTATTTGATGGAAGTGGTAGAATGTGGTACCCTCACTACTCAGATCTGTTTGCGATATGAACTTTTATTTTATACCTGTATTCCATTAAAATTTCAACAAATTTTTCTAAACACCCATGTAACCACTGTTACAGTTCTCTGTCAGAGCACAAAACTTGCACATTTTAATTTTGTATAATGTTCATAAAGTCATCACTCATATAGTTCACTCTCAGAGTGATATCAAACATATTCCAGCAACTTAAATTGTAACTTCAAAATAAATCAAAAGTTTTTACTTGCCTTTATTAACTACCCTGGGGAGAACACATGGTGTACACTATAGCAATATCAAAAAATCTCATTGTTTTAGCTATCTATTGCTGCTGTAACACCTGGCATAACCATGAGATTCTTTTGGTCAGAATTCTGTAATTTGGGCACAGCTCAGCAGAGACTACTAGTCTCTGCTCAAGGCTTCTAATGCTGACATGGCTGTCTGGAAGCTGGAGGATCCACTTCCCAGAAAACCTTAGTTGCATGGCTGCCAAGTAGGTGCTGGATATCATCTAGGTACATCCTTGGGGCTATCCGTGTTCAATGATTGTATCAGTCTGCTTGGGCTATCATAATAGACTTGGGCTGTCATCAGATAATAGTGTAGATGCAGTAGCTTGAGAAACAGATTCATTTTCTCACAGTTCTAGAGGTTGAAAGTCTAAGATCATGGTTCTAGCATATTCACTTTCTGGTGAGGGCTCTCTTCTTGCATGCAGACGGCCTCCTTCTTGCTGTATGCTCATATGACCTCTCCTTTGTGTGAGGAAGAAAAGGTAAGAGAGAGACAGGGAGAAATTCTTTAGTTTCATTTATGTTACTGGATGAAGAGGGTTTGGCTGCTGTCTCACTCAGCCAATATGCAGAGACAGAGATAGGGCCACCAAATTTTATTTGTGAGAAGGCCAACAATTCTGGAGAACAGTAAGTATAGCCTCTCAAAGACTATTATATTCTTCCATTTCCAAAATCATAGTTTTATACATAAAAGTTAAAAGCAAGGGTGGCA